TCGTTCTCGTTTAGTTGTTTGTCATCGCGTTTTTGTCGTTTTTGTGCTGCTGATGTTCGTTGCGTTCTTGTTCCTCATTTCGGACGTATTGTGTGTTTCATGTGCTGTATTTATTGGTGTGACATGTCGATGTCCGCGTCGAACCGTCGACCGCCGGTTCCTTTACGCGGTGCACACTCATGCTGCATTCGTTTCATCAAATTAGTCATCATAGCGTTGTGGAGTTGGGTTTTTTCGCTTTTCTTGTTCGTTTCCTTTACGGTGTCGGACACGCACGTAAGCAGATGGATACAGACGACGTTCTTGCGGTCACACGATGCATGGTCTTGCTGCCGCGGGTGATTTAGTTTGCTGGACGGTCATGCGGCACGCCATTTGCCGAACAAATTTTAAACGTCATCGAGGTACTCGCCTTGTCGTGTGGTGTGTATGTTTTATTCGTCGACGTGACGGTCGGTTCTTCTAACCTCTGCTGTTGTTCCGTCATTACATTGGTGTACCTGCGACATACGGTGTTTTGTTTAGACCCGAACGATCATCTGAGGGCGGTCGAGTTTCTGAAGCAGGCATGCGACAGTAACTTCGTAAGTGACACTTCCACGCGACGCGACAACCGTCGGTCGGTCGTGTAGCATATTCTCTCGCTAATGTTTCATCCATTTCTTAGGCTGAATTCGTCAAGCAGTTGTCCGAGATCCTATGCGACGCCAACGAACAAGCGTACGTTCGCCAGGCGGCTGGCTTGCAGTTGAAAAACTCGCTCACCGCCAAGGACACCCCCCTGAAGATGGAACACATGAAGCGATGGCTGGCACTCGATACCAAACTCAGGGACTTGATCAAAACAAACGTAACGTCGTGCCTTTTTTCGACACCGTTTGTTTTTATCGTCTTTTCGTTCGTCGCGTTTCATTCTCTTTAACATCTTTAGTTCCTCGGCTCTGTCGTTCGCGTTAAATACCTTCCTTTCTTGGTTCCTTATGATACGTTTCTCATGTCACCTAAGGCATTCATCATCTCTTAGGCTTGTCATCTCTGCTGCAAATTGACTCAAATTTGTGATACCTCACTGAAACAAGGCAGCCTTTGCTGCTGCGACGAAAGTCATATTCGTCAGGCAAGCTGCAGACATGCTTACAGCTCTGATTTGGCTAATAAAACTACCCGAAAATGGTATGCAAGTATGTTCAAAAGTTTTTTCTAGTGGGAACAGTTTACTAGCCACAGACGCGTTGGAAAAAGGTACAAAGCTGGATTGCCTAATTGAAGAAAATTATCTCCACGAATATGGCCTTTCGCACAGCAGATCATGTTTGATATTATGCTGAGACAGCATGTTTAACCATCAGACATAAATCGGAGCTGTTCTTCCGTTCAGACTTTTTTAGCCTTAAGCGACAACAGCTACATACAGTTTTATTTTATTTAGTCTTCCGACGCTTGAGTCATTTGATTTAGGATCTAAGGATTGAACTTCCTGCATTGCTTTCACTTTCTGTCTAAAGTCCGGCTATAGGACCCTCGTATGGCAATTATAACAAACGCCACCTTGCATGATAGCACAACAAGCAGCTTAAAACAGTAGAAAGTTGTCAAACAGACCAAAGTACAACGCTAGACAGAAGCTTGGATAGGAAGTGTATGCATGTATAAAAACGTGGGAATGGCCACGACACGCCGATGACAACAGAAAAACAGTGTTATTTTGACAACGTTTACGTCGTTTAAAATATTCGTTTTGTCTCTGATTTATTCATAAAATTATTCATGCATATTGTTTGCAATTAGGTTTTATGACTCTGGTAAAAGGTAAATGATGGTGGTTGAAAGGCAAGGCGCAGTTCAAGTTATCCGGTCATTTATCTCACTGACTTGGAATATGCAGACGATATTGTCCGTTTGAGTAGCACTGCGAACAGACTTCGTCGCCTGTTGACTTCTGTGTGAATCACTGCTGAGGAAACCAGCTTCTGCCGTAACGCTCGGAAGTTCAGTTATGAGGAACCCATCACACAGGGCGGCTGATCTGCTAGTCGAATGGTGAGCCATAGACGAATTCGATCAATTAAGTATCTCGGTTGAACTATCTCCAGCGATGGCAATATCCAATCAGAGTTAAATAGGAGGGTCGCTGCCATTGCTTTTGGTAACCTGTCAGGTACCTGGACGGAACAAAGAGTAGCCATTTCTACAAATATTTGCCAGTACCTTGTCTCTCAGTTTATGGCGTGGAAACGGTTCTAACGAATGACGATTGAACCGCGTACAGCACCGTTGGATTCGACGCATAGTGAGGGTTCAGTGACAGGAGTACGTTGCGAACGACCATATTTTATTCCCGGGCACACGTGTGCGCTGTAGATAAGGAGATTAAGAAAGTGAAGTTAACTTTGATCGGCAGATTGGTTGAGCATAAGCCATTTACTCGCTTCTAGGAGTTTTTGCTCTAGGAGCCACAGCATACGTCCACCAGAACCTACATGAAATATGGAGGAATAACACCGAAGAAGTTTTTGCTTTCAGAGAGCAGTATTCATAACGATAATCGATGCTGTATAACAAAAATGTTGTAAAGTTGCGAATACAACTGACACTGCAAACTACAGACGTTCTGCTTTGCACATGACTCATTGTGATGATCGTACAAACGCATGTGACTGGTGGTACACTAAATGATTTCTTCTGTCGTAAGCATCTCCATGCCACATCGTATGCATTTAATATAGGCATTATTTTTTCGTGTTTTCGTTGCGCGTACATTTTGTTTGCAGAATTTATCGGAAAGCGTCATGTCCCCGTTTGCTATTAATTGCAGCAGTTTTCTGTTGCAATGTTACCGATGAATTTTGGTTTCGTTCTGAAGTACATCTGTTGGAATTGCAGTTCAGTGAAAAGTTTCAATTAGGACAGTGTTTACCCAAAAACAAGACGTTATCGGTGAGTGAACTTTAATTGGGAGGAAGTCGAAAAGCCTCAACGGTGCAAACAGCAACCAAAAACAGTAATTTTTCACTCGGGTCATGCGAAATATCGTCTTAATAACGCATCTGTAAAAGTAGTTAGGAGGCGCGTGGCCAACTTTCCGATGCTTTTGCGTTAGTCATGACGTTGTCACTACTTCTTGATCATAATCATTAATGAAGTCCACGATGTTGTATAGTGTAAGCGTTTCTCAAGCTAGGATTTCCATATCGCGATTTCAACCCTTGACGCGCTTTCGTTAAACTCTCATGAATGGTCATTTCGTGCGAGGTTTCTCCTCTTGATCAGGATCAGAAATGCTTTACTTAAAGCGTTCAAAATGCACCGTTTCTTTGCTGCAAATATTCGATTTCACAGGGTTGTTTACTTTTGAAAGGTAGTCCTCAGAGGAGATTTTGTTGTCCGCCTAAAATAGACTGTCGTAGTCTGCGTATAAGTTCTGATTGCATGATAGCTGTTTTCTCTGTGAAAGCCTCTAAAATGTATCACCCACTAATGCGGCTGGCAGGTGAATTATGAAAACTGCTGTTAATGCAAAGCTGATTACAGGGCAAAGAGGGCCGTTGCGTTGTCGTTAAACTCGGTTTGGTCTGATATGAATAGCCATACTCCCGGCTTACCAGCCGACTTTACTATTTCTGTGAAAAATGTTTTCAGAGCCCCAATCCTGAAGAATTGCTGGTGCCAAAAAAGGCATTCCAGTAGTCAGTGAAGCGACATGTCGTGCTTCTATGCGTTATATGATTATACAACTATAATTCTTTATCCTTACTAGCAAATATTGCATGAAAGCCTTACAAGCAGACCAGGGGTAGTGAGTTCAATGAAAATGCATTGAATACTGACAAGAATAGTACTCTCTGTTGAGAGGTTTGACGAGATGAAGCACAGTTTCAAGCTAACTTCATGTGTGCGTAGTGACGCGTATCATCCTTTAACCTCAAGGCTACTCGTCATTTATTCAGAAGCAAGCGGCTCCTCGAAGGGGTTTCGCCATACTTTGCTTGGCAGTTTACTTGAAAGAGGAATGTATCCTTCTTTGTGACACATTTCTT